TTACTATATTTTTTGAAGAATTGTCATTTATATTTCTGATAAATATTTCTGACATTTAGTTGTTGATGTTGTCAAAAACTAAATAATAATAATATGTAGCAGGCTAAAAAAGTTGTATGTTTGTAACCACAAAGAACAGTAAAGACAAAAAAATATAATAACTTGGATTAAGTGCGTTGAGTAGCATATATAGGGTATTTTAAAAATTTGCATGATTTTCAAAATATATACAGGGGCGAACGCAAGGTTTTTTGATGTTTTATTGATGGCTCTTGTATGCATTGTAAAAACTCCAAATTATGTAGATTTTTGCTTATATCTTCGAATGTTTTTCGAAAAGTTGCCCTAATTAGAGTCTGGGAATAAAAAAACCCTGTGAATGTGAAGGTAATGAGTTTATAAAATATTATAATTTACTATCTTTATACTAAATTTAAAGTCATCGACAAGTTTTAAATTTCATCAAATAATCTTTGAGTCTTCAAAAGTTAAGATTATATAAATTTTAAAAACTCATTTTGGAGAGGATAGAAAATTAAACAGCCTGCGTCCTTCACTAATATATAATAAATGTTATCGTTTTAAATTTTTTATACTTCTGGAAAAATATTTTGTTCACTTTAAAACTTCTGGTCAATAATATGTTATATAACTAGATGTCTAACTTGTGGGAGTTTATTATACAAAAAGTAAAGCCGCTTTTTTTTTTGTTTATAACAATAATCCGCCATTTGTAAAAAGGGTAAAAGCTGAAGCCGATGTGTAGAATAAAAGTTAAAAATGCACGTCAAAAGTTCCCATTAAATTAAAGATAATTCAAAACAGTTATAAAATACTCTTAAAAGTTTTTTTATGAGCCTATGTTTATTAAAAAGTATTTTAATTCATAAAAATGCTTCAAAATAGTAAGACTTTTCTATTCAAAACTTTAATCCTTTTTTAATCAAAAATAAATCAAGGAATCACAAATTATTATTTTACAAGTATTACAATTTCCGCTTAACACTTTTACGTAAATAGTAATTAAATTTAAAATATATTTACTTCATTTAAGAAAAGAAAAGTTAAAAATATTTGTTTACAAATTTAATCCACCATTTGTAAAAAGGCAAAAAAGTGGCTTTACTTTTCGTAATGAAGTTAGACATCTAGTTATATAATATGGCTTCTGGTTTAAAGTGAATAATTAAAACAATAATGCTTATTATTAACTATTATGTTTAATAATTGACGTTGTTCCTTTAATCAGACCTCTCTCTGAGTGACGTCATCTTTATCAATCAATGAAAGAAAATAAATTACTTGTTGACGTTGTTTGTGAGTTTTGTCGTTGCAAGTACCAGTTTTGTTTTGAAATAAGATTCGATACCATTGCATTTTTTGTTAAAAAAACGTAATTTATTTTATTTTTATTATTATTATTAATTTTGTTTTTATTATTAATTTTATTTTTGTTATTAATTTTATTATTATTAATTTTGAAATTCAGAACTTGTAATATTTAATCCTTGTACATCCTTATCACCCTAACACATAAATTTATTTAAATTTAAAATAGTTTTATTTAATATAGTTTCACACTTTGAAAAATGATATAATCAAAAAAACAAAATCTAATCATAGAGCAGCGATTATAGTTCCAGCTCAGAACCAAGAAGTTCAACGTTCGATGCTTCTTCTGTATCTGGTTGATTGATAAGAAGGCATGAACTTCCTGGTTAAATTCTTTTCCTCAGTGCTCTGTGCTCTTAGTTCTTCTCGGTTCAATTTTATGACTAATGAAAAGAAACAGAGCAATTAAAATTTCTTGAAAACTACTCATTGCATGCACAAAATGTAAGGAAACGAAATGTGAAATAAAAGGTTGCGGGATGGCGGTCAACTGAGATGCACGGGCAATTTTTTTCTCCTAATCCTACCATATCTTTGTCCCAACCCAAACCCTCAGATGATGTAGCAGCTCTTCTTTGCATGTTCTCCTTAAATCAGTCGATGTATGTACTGAAGCACCGAATCTCTTAATTCTATTTCTTTACTTTGTTCCCGCACTTTATCGTTAAAATTTTCTCATTTTACCGATGCCATATTTTTATAAACCGATGTCACATTTTTTTAAGTAGTCAAAACAAGCTTCACTCATATATAAACCATAACACAGTTTGAATTTTGACTTAATCTCTTGTACCTGATACTCAAGAGGGCATCGGCAACTAGTAAAAAATTTGATTTATTTAGAGTTGTTAAAACGTTGTCATTTCCGTTGCAACTGTGAAGAATAAATATCAAAAAATTCTCTAAAAACTATTTAGATTTTAAAGTTAAATTTCTTTTACATCATTTTTTCAAATGTTCCAAATTAGAATGTTAATATTACCGGGACTTTCTCGACTAGATTCGAAACTTGTGCTGCACTTTTCCATTAGTTATAGATCTAAATGTTTTGTTTGTTTATATTTTAGATATTGTATTTAACGCGCCACGCGGGTTATTAAATTAAATCTCTAAATAAAATATATTTTAATCGGGATTAAATGAGATTTAAATAAAGAATTTTTTTAAAAAAGTAGTGAGCGACATAAAAACTATTTTTTTATTTAAATACATTTTCAAAAGTAAGCATCAAACTTTTACTTTTGTCTAGTGGAGATATTTTATAATTTATTATATAAAGATATTATATAAATTTAATTTTTTCTTCAATGAAAAATTAGAAACAGTTGTCTTTTTGTACCAAGGTTTTTCTTTTTTTCTTTCCTTAAGGAAAAATTTTGAATATTAATGGAAAGATTTTTTGGCCCTAATTGTCATTAGACGCATTTAGAAATTTAAGTGCCCTTTTGCAAATTTAAAGAGCTTTTTTTTTTAATGTCTAATGAAAAACCTTTTGGAATAATAATCGAAAGATTTTTGGGGGCAGGTTTTTTTTTTTTTGGGGGGGGGGGATCTCAAACCTACTAGCCACGGCACTGTATGTATATATATATATACATATATATATATATATATATATATATATATATATATATATATATATATATATATATATATATATATATATATACATATATATATATATATATATATATATATATATATATATATATATATATATATATATATATATATATATATATATATATATATATATATATACATAAAACAAAAAGTAAACAAATAAAAATAGACGAAAGTAAACGTTAATGCTTCCTTTTGAATATGTATTTATCTCTGTATAGCTCTGTATGTTGGCGCATCGTTAAGTTGCAAATCGTTAAGTAAACAAATATTTTGATTTTGTTATATGTATTTTTCTCAGCAAACATTCTGTAGCTAAATTTTAGTGGACCTATATAGACATTTTGAGCGGTTCATTATAGTTTTATTTTGAGCGGTTCATTATATATTATCAATTACTTAGTGGACCATTTGTGGCAGTCCGTAAAAGTGGCTGTCTTTTATATAACATGTTGGAAAGTTGGACACTTATAGGGAGTATCAATAATAGTCAAAATAGCTCAAAGATGCCTTTATAGATCCACTACCAAATCACGACAAAAATATTTGCCGGGAAAGGTAAATTTATTGAGATAAATCTTAAGCGATTAAATAATGTAAAATAAAAAAATTTGTCAAAATTTCTCTTATTGAAACTCCTAATAAAACTTTTAGCAATTTTGCTTGAAAGCAAAATGAAGGATAATATAGGCATTGAAAATATGATTCTGAAAATAAAATAACAAACTTATGACCAATATATGTCATTTAATTTGCGTTACACGAAAAATCAAGTAAAAAAATGTTTCAACTTTGTGGACAAATTTCTGCAAAACAGTATTGTTTTATTTGCATCAGGGCGACACGGGTTTCAAAGTGGAGGGGCACAATCGAGAGTGGAGGGGGCACAATCGTCAATTTTTTTAAAAAGTCCTCTTTATCTAGGATTTTCTTTAAAAAATAAAATAAAAAAAAGAAAGTTCCTTCAGAAAAAATGTGGGACAGCACACGCCTTCTCCCCTCCGTTTCGTCGGCTCTATTGAAAATCTTTAGAAGATGTTGTAATTCAAATGTTTAATACATAAATGTAAAAAAGTTTTAATAGAGGTGAATGACTAAAGTAAATAAACGGGTTATCTTAAAATATGCATTTAACTTGCGATTTACCGAGCGTTAACGTGCGATTATTATGAAGGATTTCCTCCTAAATGAACTCATATCTAAAAAAATACCAATGAGCTGATATCTTGCAGAAAATTAGTTTTTTGCTTGAGGCAGCTGAAAAAGTATCCAAACCCAAATTGGGTCATTAGTAAGTTCAGTAAAACCATGTGTGGCTATCGCACATTATATATAAAATGAAGGGGTGAGATATTGTTCGCATGTCTTCGTATTAAATGCCATGTGTTTCTCCTATTAATGGCTTAATTAAGCCATTAATAGGAGAAAGTAATTTTAGTCAATTTAAAAGGCCAGATCACGAATAATTAAATAGGCAACTTTAGGAGTCCGAAAAACTGTTTTTATTTCTAAAGAACGTCATTTGAAATATGAATACCGTAACTTAATAAGCCAGTCGTTTAATTAGAGTTAATTATTTAAATTACTTTAAAATATAAACATTTGTTTTATATTAAAAAAAAATGTTTATTAACAATTGTAAGGAGTCATTTGTTGATTAAAAACAATATTAGTAGTATTGACGGCGCTGTATCTTACTTCTTAAGTTACGAAACGAAAGAATTGCAATTAAAATTCCATTCATTTTAAATAATTGGTCGCTCTCTTACGTAGAGATTTTTCTTTTAAAAAAATAAAAAGAGTTAATAAAAAACGATAACAGTTTTTTTCTTGGTGAGTAAGAGCAAATTGTAAATATCAACTGGACGCCGTAAAGCGATAAGTAACCAACCAACATTTAAAATATTTCGAGGTAATGAAGAAAAACAATTTTAAAACTAGACGTAATTCAGTTTTTCAATATAAAATTGTATAACGAATACATTCACAGCCTCTTGCTAATGTGATTATAAGTAGAGTATTATTCAGATATTTATAATTAGCTTTTTTTCCAAATAATTTTTTCCATTTTTTTATTTAAATAAATGGTTGGTTTCCTATTACGGAATCCAATTTTTTGTTGTGTAAATAATAACAATATTTTAAAAACAGCGCCAAAACATTTAGATAAATTCGCAAAGATTTAACTTACGTCATACTAATTCAAAATTAAAATGTTAACTTTTAAAAATTAAAGTAAAAACGTAAGTTTTGATATCTATATTAATAACTTTTAGAAAAAAATAACTTCATGTGTATTTTTTAACTTACGTTAAATGAAAATTGCAAAGGTTCTTTCGTTATTTTCATTAAATTTCCTTTACAAAAAAGTTAAATATTTGACCAATGATAAATTGAAGTTGCCAACTTTATTTCCAGAGTAAAATAAATCATATCATGCAATTAAATTTACAATAAAAATAATAATTTACAACGATGCGTTTTTTTTTTTTATCATACGACATTGGAAAGGGAGTTTGAACTTAATTCAAACTCCCCTCAATTTGAAATTATTTTATTGCTGACGACACCAGGGAAAGGGAGCCAGGAAGCACGTGCCCCTCCCCCCACACACACACACACTCACACTTTTACTCAGGAGGATCTTTTTTTAAAAAAAAATTTTAAGCTTTAAATGCTTTTTTTTAAGAAAATGACGATTGTGCTTCCCACTTTAAAAACCGTGTTATGTTATGCATAACTTTTGCATATAGTAACGCGCAAAATAAATGATTTAACAATTATAAGTATTTTGTCAGCATCAACCACAAATCGTATTTTTATTTAGGTGTTATCTTTTTTTAATTTACTATTTACAACATAAATTTTACAAAATAAAAACTTTAAAGACCGTTAGGGTGCCTTGATTTGATATGTCTGTCTAAATCACGACGCCTTACAAGAACTTTTGTGCAAAATTGACATTTATATGGCGTGTCACCGACTGCGTGAAGACGAATATGCTTTGCCATGTTAGAAGGATCACCAAAACGTTTTTGGCAAAACTTGCATCTCAGTGGTTTAAAACCTGTATGAATTCGCATATGTATTTTTAATCCATATTTTCTAGTATAAAGTTTTCCACAAAGTTCGCATAAATAACCTTTGTTCCCCACTTTTTTTGAATGCATGTCACTTACTACATCTTCATTACACGAAAGTTTCATTTTATCGATAACACCGTGCGAATCGATAATTTCGTTTAGATTTATATGTCCGTCAGTATCGTTACCACTAGTGGAAAAATTTATGTCATTGCCATACTGCATATTTAAATTTGCATGCTGATATAAATTGTTAAAGACGTTTGGATTAGAACATTGAGAGTAGTTATATTTTTCTACAAAAGCGTTTATGTTTGCGAGAGGAGGACTGCACATGCGAGGCTGTTGAATAAACATTGTGCTAGGAAGTATATCGTGTTGCTGAGTTGAATATCCGATATCCCTAAAGCTTGATGACCGATGCAAAATACTAGGCATATGGGATAGCTCATTATTTGGAGATGCTACGTAACTGACTTTATTATTATATGTATTATAGGTTGTGTCTTTATACCCACTGTATTCTCTTGAGGTTATGTGTGTAAATGCACTTGAGTGAGCTGGACTAAACGAATTTCCTAATCCATGAACTACACCCAAAGGTGTCAGCGGTGAAAGTACTGGAGATGCTTTATCGCTGTAGCGAGAAGGTGATTTGCTGGACAAAATTAAAGCAGGCAGATGACTTTTAGATAATGCTAAACTACCTGTTGGTGATTGCATAGGCGAGTGATTTTCTTTAAAATTGAAAACGGGATCGTTAAATGAAGAGAATGAGTAATGACCAGAACTCATATTATTAACGCACGGATTAATGCTATTTACTGTAGTTGATATATGAATACTTTCTTCGTCAGGGTAGTTACTTATAAGTCCATTCCAATTACCACCATCATTTTGAAATTCTCCGAAGTTATTAGTCCCTGATTGAGAGTCGTTGTAAATTCCTTCTGTGGCTACATTCGAAATGTCAAAAAAAGATTTATCTCTTGGGGAGTCGTCATCGTTTAGATAAACTTCGTTTTGTTCTTCTTCTTTAAGCGTTAGTAAATTTTTTGGTAAATTTACTGGTGACAATATATTATTGTAATGTTTTGTTAAATATACCGTCATTCTTCCTTAACTTTCTTTTACTTATGATTTGAGTAGCCGACAAGACGCCCAGCTTATTCAAAATTCCACCAGACTAAAAACGATCTAAAACACACAATTTTAACCAATTAAAATTTTCAAATCAATGGTCGTTTTGGAATTCAATTTTTTCAAACAACTTCTTTGTACTAATTAAAGTTGGAATATAAAAAAAATAATTTTAGATTGTTCGCGCGCAAAAAAAAAAAAAAAAAAGAAATTATTCAGAAAATAAAATTATTCCGAAGTAAAAAGTTAGGATCACGAGAGCAGCCTTTATTTTTGGAAAAATTTCAAAACTGCAATTTTATTTAGCAGAACGTGAGCTTTCGTTTCTTTTTTTTTTTTTTTTTTTTGTAGCGCGTTTTTTCAAACACGAACTTTTTCTAATCTTCTATAACATAATTCATTATTCCAAATAATAAAATAAAAAAGTTGTTTATCATCACCAGGTTTGTTTTTTGTTAATGCACCTTTTTATACGAAAGGGCTCAAGAAAAAATTACTAAAGAAACTTGAGGGAAAATTTTTTTTTTAATTTGGAAACTTGGCAAAAAAATTTTTTAAAAGTAGTGCTTTAAAAATATAAGCGCGTCAAATTTCTTATTTGTTTGAATTTTCGTGCTCCGAAAAAAGCACGAAAATTTTAATTTGTGTTTTCTGTAAGAATATTAAAAAAAAAACGATTAATATTTGTACATTTAACGTTTTTCTAAAAAAAAAAATATTTTTAATCGTAAAAAAAGGAGCAGTGGCGGATTTAGTATAGGGCGTGGGGGGGCGAGCTGCCCCCCACGCCCCACTTGAACGGTCTAACGGCGCCCCCTAAAACAATTAGAAAATATATATATATATAAGATTAAATTACTGAAGGCAACCCCGGTCGCCCCTATTTATTGACTTGGCCCCCCCGCGACACTAAACCTCAATCCGCCACTGAAAAGGAGTTATAAATACTTGTGTTCTTTTATAGCAATCGATAAAAAAATACTAACATGTTTTTAGTTTTACTTTTGTTAAGATTAAAAAATAATTATTTTTTTATAAAAAAAAATGTAAAAGTACTAATATTTGTAGTTTAAAATTTATAAACAAATAAAAAGAATTAAATTACAAAAAACAAACGTTGTTATTGCCTCCACTGTTAATGTTTCTGTGTATTTTTTTCACTTTTCCTAGACCGAGGGGGCCACTATAGTCGAGGAGGTTACAAATTTTTTATATTTTATTTTTTATATTTTATTTTTTAAATTATTTAATGATTTTTTTACTCTGATGAAGTTGCGATAAAGAAAAATTTAAAAAAAAAAATTGTAAGCTGAAGATGAAGTTTCGCACGGTCCCAAAATCCAGATTCTATGGTAATTTTTTAATAGAATAAATTGAGCAATGGTAATTTTTTAATAAAGTAAATTGATTTTAGTTTCAAAATCAAAATATAAAAAAGTTAAATTGTAAATTAAAAAGTTAAAGTTAAATTGTTTCCAAATCTTCTTTGAATGAGAAGGGGATGTCACCCCCTCCCTCACCTTCCTCCCCCCCTTCCCTTATTCCCTATGCAAAAAACTGTTACCAAAATAAAACTAATAGTTTATTAATGATATAAATTTAAAAAAACTTATATATTTAAATAATTAGGAAATAATAGTCTATAACATTTATAATAACATAACTTTTGATAACAATATAATCTTTTATAATAAATAAAAGCCTGTAACTCTTTTTGTGCATATAAGCTTTTCAATTTTGGTGCGTATAAAGCACAAAAATATTTAAGTTTATTATTATTACTATTATTTTTAATACTTACTTTATTTTTAATTATTATTGCTATTTTTATCATTGCTGTTGTTATTATTGTTGTTGTTATTATTATTATTACTTTTACTATGAATTTTATTATTACAGTTGTTATTATTATTATTGTTATTATTTTACAATAAAAATTTGGTTGAAACATAAAATGTTTGTGTAATAACAGATGTAAAATTGACGTCACTAATTTTCCTTAAAACCGCAAAGTATTTTTATTGAGGTTATACTTCGATTGCCAGGTGGATTTTAACATTACAACAAACAACATAAACTTATAAAATCTATTTTAAAATCAAAGTTCATACCGTATTTTTAAAAATATTTGCAGACAAAGTGTTCTAATTTAAATATCTGTCAAAATTAAAGTAACTCTCCGCGATTTGCAACAAAATTGCGTTGAATTATGTTACGCATGATTAGTTTTTTAAAAAACTTCAACTTTTTTTATAAAATAACCCCCGAGATAACTAAAACTGTAGTAAAGTTTACCTAAAATCTTCAAAGATCTTTTTTGACTTAACATCTTGTCTAAAAAACTTCTTTTTTTAATCAGTAAAAAAGTTTAAAGACGAAGCTAACGATTTTTTTATGTCTCACAAACGGTAGCCATTTTTCTTTTAATTCAAGACTGCGCATGACTTGACAAAATTACGATACGTAATCAATGAAAATAAAATGTTTTTCACGTAAGTTCTTCATTCTGTTACGATCTTTTTTTCTATTTAAAATTGATGAACTTTTAAACAGCCTTTCTTAGCTTTTACTTCGCTTGAAATGTTTTGCAAAAGCATACTCTCTTTTTTTTGTATCTGTTGTGGTATAGCAGGTAAGCAGGTTCAAGAATTGAATTTTTCACGTTTTTTTATGAAACGTTAAGTGAAGGCGTATTCATACAAGCGTGAATAGCACCCGCTCATATTCTTCAGATGTTTTAAATATTAAAGAGTTCCTGATTGAAATTATAAATTAATAAAATACGAATTAAATTATTTCGTTTGTTTTGAAATTTTTTTAATTTGTAAAAATTTAATTTTTGTAAAAAAAAAAATTGCTGTAGAGAACATCAAAATGTGAACATCAAATTGGAGTAATGTCCCTAGCAGAAAATTTAGGTAAAAAATATTGTGCGATCAGAAGACTAAGCTGGATACAGGAAACTAAAATACAATATAGACTAAAGAAAAACTTAGAAATGCGTGGCTTCTATTATCTTTAATTCGATCGTTAATCACTATAATTTTTTAATTTTGAAATCTTTAAACACAATTTTTTTAATTATTATTATTTTTTTAATTTATGTATATATCTTTAAGTTTTTCTTTTGAATATAAGTGAGACATGTATTTAATTAAATTCAATTCAAGGCGCAAACAGTGTTTATGCATATATCTGTTTTCCCTCCCTAAAAGTCCCAGTCTAAATTTTTTACGTAACTGAATTGTCATATAAATAAGTTTGAATTTCCTTCAAATAATAAATTTTTAAAACGAACAAGGGCCCATTCAGAAGCTACAACCCATTCTTGCAAATTCAATGAACCGCAAATTACATGGTTGACTTACTTCGATAAAGTTGATTTAAAGTTTTCTTTAATTTTTTCTTAACGACTTAATTGGAATAATTCTCAAAAAATTTTCATTTAGCTTTAATACTATGTAAAACAAAAAACTGACGCAAAAAATATTATTTTTTTTGTTGTGCAGAAAATACGAGTTGTGTTCTTTGGAGTAACTTTAAAGTTGTATATCAAATCATGGTTTAATTTGTTATACTTTTTATTGACTATATGAATGTCTTTCCACAGTGCTTTCCTCAGTGTCAAAATGTTAACAAAGAAGTTTTACTCCAATTCACCATTAATCAAGTGAACTTTCCCAATAAACATTTTTTTAGTGGGTTTGCAGTGGATCTATATAGGCATTATTTTGCGGTTTGTTGGAGTTTAGCTCATCGGTTACTTAGTGGACCACTAGTGGGGGCCGCTATAAATGGCAAGCCGATAATTTTCCGACATTTTAATGGTGGTTAACTATCGGCGAACAACTTTTGATGGCTTCCACTAATGATCCACTTTGTAACTATGGGCAAAACTATAGCGATCTGCTGAATGCTTAGGTCCATTGAAATTTAGCTATAGCATGTTTTCTGGGTTACCATGTGCTTGTTATCAATAATTTGCGCATTCACAGAAAATACACAGAAAACCTGAGATCACCAAACATCTTTTTTATTACGGTATTATTCCTAGTTCACGTCATAACCAATTTCAGCTACAACTAACCTATCAGGCGAAGGGACATGTTGTATTATTATGTATGTAATATTTGACGGTAATACATATTTATTCAAAAATTATGAAAACATTCAAATCAAATCAATCTAATCAAACCATCACTATTTTACAGCTTCTTTATTTTTTTAAATATATTTATTAGTTATTGAATTTTTATTCTTTTTATTTATTTATTTGTTTTGTGCGTGGCGTCTACTTCTTATATGATAGGCATTTTGTCTATGTGTATAAAAAAATCTGAGCGCATTTACATCAACAAAATCGATTATTCATCAATTTTTGTTCAATTTAACATTCCAAATTTTGAAAAAAAGAAAAAACTTTGACAAAACACAATTAAAATATCTCTAATTTAGCATTTATAGTTTTTTACTTCCTTAGCAACGGTTTTAGAAACCAGGATGGCGTCTGATTCTATTGAATTTGTTCTCTTAAATGTTGAAATGGTTTGAAAAATAACTATACAGCTTCTTGTCTCAATTTTAAATCATATTTTCAAGCAACACACCAAAACTGTTTATATATTTACTGCGATGCAAAATAGGTAAAAAATATAAAATAAAGCTCAGCTAGTAAAAAAATGAGATCATTTACCAATTCAATTCTGGTTTGTCTAAAGCTGCAACAAAGTAAACTAAACTATTATAGAGTAAAGCGAGGCTAATTAAGAATAGGGGTAAATTGAGCGACTAAAATACCACGAACTACGCATCGCATGACAAAACATTTAACAAATTAAAGATGCTGACACTTTTTTACTATTTATTTTTTTCTCTTTTCTTATTAAAGTCATTAAAATGTATAGAATAAAAAGTTGATAAAATTATATACACGTCACTGTTAACAATAGTTTTATTGATTATTTATCCAAGTTCCATGCCATGTATTTTCATTTATTTGTTGATTGCTCAACTTGCTCCATACAGTTGCTCAACTTGCCCCGTTGGGGCAGGTTGAGCAGCTTTTCAAAATTTACACAGTACCTTCTCAATCAAAGTTATTTCTTTTTGACCAATTTTTGACAGGTTGAATTATTTTTCAGTAGTGAAAAAATTATGTAAATCCAAAACACCGTTCGTGAAATCTGTTAAGTTTAGTAAAAATTGATCAACTAACCCTAGTCTACCTTATCTTCATCAATAAAAAAAGCAAAATATGGCGATTTGATGATTTAGGATTTGTTAATTACTTATTTAGTTACCTTAATTACTTAGGAATTGTTGTCGAGATATTAAAAACTATATTTGTTTTTTTAATACTTCTCAAAGACGTTATTTAAAAAATCCTAAATTTCATGGACAATTAAGTTTTAAATATGATATATAAAAAAAGAAAGATTGTTTAATTAAATTGATGTTTTCATTATTAGATGACATTGCCTAAAAGTTGTAAACAATACTAGAAATGTAAAAATGATACATTAGCATATAAAGGTTTAAATTCAGAGCACAATTGATTAGTTACAAAAGGAAGTGATCTATTGATTGGTCACAATCGATTGGCCAAAATGGTAGTGATCAATTCATTGGTCACAAATGGAAGTTCAAATGGAAGAAATAGAGTTAAACAAGAACTTTTTTGTTTAATAAGAAAATTTTTTCAAAGGTTTATTACACTACAAGAAAACTTAAACATTTATTTTATCTGGACGATGAAGACAGTAAAACTTTTTTTGAGTTTAAAATTACGTCTAATCCCAAATTAACAATAAGAAAACCAGAATATGTTGTTTGTGTCCAAAACAAAAAAGTTCTCTTTTTGTCAAGGTATCTCTTAAAAAGAATATAAGGGTAATATAAGGGTCTTTTAAATGAAAGTATAAGGATAATATAGGGGTTTCTTAACGAAAAATTTATTGCAAACGAAAAAGAAAAATAATGACAAAATTCCGCGTGCTCTGTGATAAGACCGTAAGGACTTCTGGGAGCACCTTAATAACTAAAAAAAAAAATTATTTTACTGATAAAGTTATACTTAGTTAAATATTAAGTAATAAATTTATAAATATTTAAGTTCTAAACAATAAAGTTATAAATACTTGAATACACTTTATAACAATTATGGGTGCGCTATTAGAACTTAAAACATCCTTCGTTGTGCTCGATATTTAACTTAGTATTTAAAGCATTTCAAAGTTACGTACTATTTTCTCATTTATAAGTGATATTAATAAAATAGTCCTTGCCGAAAGTTCTAGATCTGGCGTTTGTTCTTTTATTTCCAATGTCACTCAGGTGAAATTACATTCAAATGAGAGATCTTTTTTTGTATGTTTGTATAAAAATGTTTGCAGTTTGTATGAAAAGTTTTTTTCTTGCACAATTATTCTTTCTTTTCGGTTACAAATAATTCCAATTGTTACTGACCCAATTGTTACAGATAATTCAATTGTTACAGATATTGTTATAAACTTATTTAAACTCAATTGTTATATTGTTAATTCCGATATTGTCATTGATTTTTTTTTTTTTTTAATAAATAGGATCAAGTGTACTATTTTGTTGCAACTAGCCATAAAAATAATATAGATGTCATAGAACGCATCCAGCATCGGGCTACCAAAATACCGCACAAAATAAAGCGCTTCGATTACAAGACAAGATGCAGCAAACTCAGCCTCAGTTCTCTACTAAATAGACGTATACGCGGCGACCTCATACAAAAATACAAAATCGAAAACAATATTGACTCAGTTAGTTGGCATATCGATCCACCAAATAGCTAACCAAGCTACAGACATCGCAAGCGTTTTCATCGTGAAATGGACAACAACTGCCTCGTTCGTTATAATTTCTTCAATAACCGCGTCGCTCACCCATGGAAAACTATCAGCGTTGGCCGCTTCAAAGCAAAACTAGATCAGCTACTATAATTACTACAGCGCATCATCTTCCATGTAATTTCGCACGGGCTAGTACGGCTGGCTGTTGATGAAGAGCGACTAAATCCTAATGACGTAAATAAATTATTTCTTTACATCATTGCTAAATCCTGATATGCGGATGACGAAAGTAATACTTGAAAATAACATTATGGGTATATGCCGCGTATATCTTTTTAAATGGTTACATACAACACACGTATGTTGTTTTGCGTTTAAAACAAATGAGCACATGGCAATAAAAAAATGATCAAAAGCAATAAAAAAAAATTATTTTTATTTATAATATTCATTTATAAATTTATTTTATTTATAAACATATTTATTTTATTAATAAACACATTTTTATTTTATTTTATTTATAAACTATTTATTTTTTTGTTTATAAACTACAAAGTTTTTAAATAAACTATTTTTGTAACTATAAACTATATTTCTAAACTAAAACTATAAACTATATTTATAAACTATAAAGTTTATTTATAAACTATTTTATTCATTAACTATTTAAACTATTTTATTTATAAACTATTTATAAAATAAATTTATTTCATTTATAAACACAAATTATAAAACTAA